CTATGAAAGGTTGAAATTAATTAGCGTGTGAACCAGTATAAAATATGTCGACAGAATCTTTAAATAAAGAACTTAATTCGTTAAAATAATAATAATAGTAACTCACATAGTGGCCTCTTCTGAGATCATTACGTCACTATAAATTCAATGACCCTCCTCTCAATGAAAATTCAAGACTAGACTAACTTGTTTCTTACTTTCAAGTGGTTCAGCATTTTCAACATTATGGATTCAAATAAGAAGCACAAAATTTCTTGCTCTTGCTTTCCCTTTACTCTATTCAAAACTTTCAAGTTTAAGAGACCTCCAGGACCTGCACCTGGGGTTTGGGTGCGTAGCGGTAGCGATGAAGAGAAAGCAGCTGTTTCTAGGGTTCCTGACGACNTGTGATCACTGCATTTATGGGAAGATGAATAGAATCAGATTTAGTGTGGGAAACCACTGTTCTAAGTCTATTTTAGACTATATCCATTCAGATGTTTGGGGACCTACTAAATATCCATCCTTGGGATGTTGTAGATATTTCATCAGCATAATAGATGACTATTCTATGAGGGTCTGGGTTTATTTCTTGAAAACTAAAGGAGAGGCTTTTAGGAAATTCAGAGATTGGAAAGTCATGATTGAAAACCAAACTGTGAAGAAAATTAGGAAACTTAGAACTGATAATGGTTTAGAATTCATAAATGAAGATTTTGATCATCTGTGTAGGGAAAGTGGAATTCTGAGGCATAGGACTGTAAGGCACACACCCCAATAGAATGGTTTAGCAGAAAGGATGAACAGGACCATTCTAGAAAAGGTTAGAAGCCTATTATCTTGTTCTAAGTTACCCACCAAGTTTTGGGTAGAGGCTGGCCACACGGCAGTTTACCTAATTAACAGAATACCCTCATCTGCTATTAGTTTAAAAACACCCATGGAAAAATGGTTTGGGCATCCTGCAAGCTATAGTAACCTTAGGGTTTTTGGCTGCACTGTTTTTGTTCATGAAAAAGCTGATAAGTTACAACCAAGGGCTATTAGGTGCATTTTCTTAGGATATCCTGATGGCATTAAGGGTTATAAATGTTGGGATATTGGAGGGAAAAAGTGTATCATTAGTAGAGATGTCAGATTTAATGAAGATGAGTTGGGTATTTTGGGTCAGGAAGAGAGTAACAATGCAGATAGGACAGAGGTCTTAAATCTGGATCTAGGTGGAGATTTTTCAAGTCTGAGCAATCCTGTTTCAGATTCCCATACCCAGGAGGAAGAATCTAGCTTAGGTGAACATGGTGATAATGATGATGATGGACATGACTTGCAAAATTATCAACTAGCTAGAGATAGGGAAAGAAGGGAAATTAGACCACCTAAGAGGTACTCAGATGCTGACATGGTAGCATTTGCTCTTCAAATTGCTGAAGAGATTGATGATGAGCCTAGGACTGTTAAGGAAGCCATGATTAGTAAAGATTCCAGGGAATGGAAACTTGCCATGCAAGAAGAATATGAGTCTTTAATCAAAAATCAGACCTAGATCCTTGTTAACAAACCTGAAGGCAGTAGGGTGGTTAAGTGTAAATGGGTTTTCAAAAGGAAAGAGGGTATACCAGGGGTAGAAGCACCTAGGTTTAACGCTAGGTTGGTAGCCAAAGGTTTCACACAGGTTGAAGGAGTTGATTATAATGAAATTTTCTCACCAGTTGTGAGACATACCACTATCAGAATTCTTTTAGGCTTAGTTGCTCAGTTTGATTTAGAATTGGAACAATTAGACATCAAAACTGCTTTCTTGAATGGTGATTTAGAAGAAAGAATTCTGATGGAGCAGCCTGAATTGTTTGAAAAGGGGTCTACAAACCAGGTTTGTTTGTTGAAAAAATCACTGTATGGATTAAAGCAGTCACCTAGGCAGTGGTATAGAAAATTTGACTGGTTTATGGTGAATGCTGGATTTATTCGAAGTAGCTTTGATGGTTGCTTTTATTTTAAGTGTTTGTATGGTGAGTGCTACATTTATCTAGCTTTGTATGTAGATGATATGCTTGTTGCTTGTAAAGATCTTTCTGAAATTGCTAGGTTTAAGGAAGAGATGAGTAGACAATTTGAAATGAAAGACTTAGGGCAAGCTAAGAAAATCCTAGGAATGAATATTGAAAGGGATAGAAAGATTGGAAAATTGATCTTGTCACAAAAGGAATATGCTGGAAAAGTTATCAGGAAGTTTAATATGAGCAATTCCAAACCTGTCAAAACACCCTTAGGACAGCACTTTAAACTCAGTTCAGTTCAATGCCCAGAAACAGAAGAAGAAAGGAAGGAAATGAACTGCATTCCGTATGCAAATGCAATAGGGAGCTTGATGTATTTGATGGTGTGTACCAGACCTGATTTAGCCTTTGCAGTTAGTTTTGTAAGTAGGTTTATCAGTAATCCTGGGAAGAATCATTGGGAAGCTGTAAAATGGGTGATTAGGTATGTGAGGGGTACAATGACTACTGGAATTGTTTATAGTAGGGAGCAAAATCAAGGAAATATCATTGTAGGATATGTGGATGCTGATTATGCAGGAAATGTGACAATAGGAAATCCATGACTGGTTTCTGTTTCTCTTTTTGGAATAATCTAGTTTCTTGGAAAGCTAATCTGCAGGCAATTGTTACTTTGTCAACTATGGAAGCAGAATATGTTGCCATTATAGAGGCCGTTAAAGAAGCAATGTGGCTCAAAGGAATGCTTGAAAAAATGGGTTTGAACCAGCAGCAGGTTCCAATCAAGAGTGACAGCCAAAGTGCAATTTTTCTATGTAAAAATCAAGTGTTACATGAGAGATCAAAACACATTGATGTCAGGTTGCATTTTATAAAGAATTTGTTTGAAGATAAAGCCATCAAGGTGGAGAAAGTTCTTGGTTGCGAAAACCCAGCAGACATGTTCACCAAGTCTGTTGTCTTGGACAAGTTGAGGCTCTTTAAGAGCCTTCTTCACATTGAAGAAAAGTAGAAGGAATTTCCAGGGCAGTAAGTGAGGGCAATGATCAAGTGCCAAGGTGGAGGTTTGTTGTGAGGTGGCAATTGATTTATGCCCATGTGGAAGTCAAAGTTTAATTGGGCAGTCAAAGTCATTTTTCATTTCTCTCGAGTTTTCTCTCTTGGTTAACAGAGAGAGAAAAGTTTGTTACGAAATGTTGGATGCATTGGAGTTTCGAAGAGCGTGTTGGAGTTAACGAACTTAATTTTCCAATCCTGTTACTAGATCACCTGCAAAACAAAGAGAAAGAATGAGATTGACACAGATGAAAAAAAAAAAAAAGTGAAACAGTTAATACAAGAGGTTCAATTACAACTTACAAATTACTGAAGTAAAGACTAGAAGTTACTAGGTAAGTCATGCTTTTTAGTCTCATCAATTTTCTTAAGGAGATTTCTTGACATGTATTCTGTTAAAGGTGTTTTTCAGCAATTCGAACTGCAGATGAGTTATCAAAAAGATGGCTTTCTTTTATTATGGAGCTTCTAAGCCCTGTTTGAGTGGTGTTGAAAGTAGCTAAGAAATGATTCCATTTGCTGTCATCAACAATCCGACAAACTAAAACTATAGGAATTGTTCACAAGGACGTTCCTATGAAAATACCTTGTATATGAGCACTAATTAATTGTGGTGTATAGAATACCTTGTATATGAGCACTAATCTTTACTTGGGATATTGCCTTGTTCATGATATTAGCACACTTTTAGTACTATTACTAGTTAGCAGAAAACTTATCAACTCAAATATAAGACATTAAGCATCATATTCACGGAGTAGATGATCTAAAAAGGCCAAATCTTTTCTTAGGTTTCTCTCTGTTTTTAATGATCTCTCTTCCTTCCTATAATATAATTATATCAAAATGTCTAGCTTCAATTTTGATGAAATCAGCTTGACTAAAACATACTGCATAAAAAAATTGCAATGACTTTATCATAGCTCCGATGACTGCATACTCTGTTAAGAAAGTAGAGGCAATAAGACAATCACACACATAAGAACATCAAATTTACGTGGTTTGGCAAAATCATGCCTACATCCACGAGATATAAGTCAAATGACTAAATTGAAGAATAATTGTACAAATCTAATACACTCATGTTGAACCCAAACCCAGAACCTGAACCCAAAGCCCTCATACACCCATCTCTCACTTTCTTTGACACTCTCCCACTTTATGCACACAAATCCAAAAAATGAAGTCCTCACAACTCACAATACTCACTCTTTACCTACACAATGTTGTAACAACATCACGGACCAGCCTATATATAATCAAAGAAGCTGGCGATGGTGAAAACATTAATTTGCTTTTGGATGAAGAAATTATCTCAATTCCTTTGCCTTCACTGCTGCCCTGCCAATGCAATTTTTCAGGCTTCACATTCCTCTTATCATCACTGTAAGTTCATGGTGCTAGATCACTTGCAAAACAAAGAAAAATGAATTATGAAATTGACACAACTATAAAAATAATTGAAACAATTGATACAAGAGTACAATTACAACTTACAAATTTCTGAAGTAATTTAATGTTTTTTAATCTCATCCATTTGCTTCAGGAGATTTCTAGCCCTGTCTTCCCTTTTCCTTTCTTTCTATGAACTATTGATTAACAAGGGACAAATATCAATATTTGTGTTGCAACTAGGCAAACCAACAACAAATAACGCAACTTTGAGAGCATTTCGATTGAGAAATTACTTAAGGAATGTGAGACTATTTAGTTGGTTTGGTAAGGACTTGAAGTTATCAGATCCAACAAGACTTCTTTGGCAAAATATATAAGTTGAACACCTTCTAACCCCCAAAGTTCATGAGATGAGATTATAGAGATTTTTATTCTTTGACCCTACAGAACAGACATGAACTTGTCGTCATTGTTTCGAAGATCTCAAAATGTAAAATAATTTCTTATCCAAGTTAGAAATGTCGTACCACCAGAAACTGATTGATCACATAAGCTACGATAGAAATAACATAAGCTAGACATTTTATTCAAGTCTTCCATCCAAGGTTGACATATCACTCCCTTGAAGTTGTGTTGATTTCATCTTGACATTCTTAGCACACCTTGAATATTAACGAATACAAAATAAGAAGACATGCTTTCTTGGAATAAAAGGGCAATGATGTTGGGAAAATGTAAAAATGAGACTACATAAAAGGATTGAGAAAAAAATATCTCACGTGCTTGCATTACATGAACATTGACTAGTTGTTCTGCTTTAGCAAGATATATAGAGGTCCATTACTTGGTTTTCTCCCATCATTTGGTGGACTCCATATGCAAATCCAAGAGTAAGGTTCAATATGTGCAATTAGATAGGCGAAAGAAAATGATTAGGGATCATCATTTGTTAAGAGTTTAGATATATAAAAATGGTGTCAAATATACTTACATGAAGTTGGAGAGGCAAATTTTAAGCCGTCCAATGAATCCTGCAATGTTAATCTAAGTGTAGGGATCCTGTATGGTATTGTTTCCATAGAGGGTAAATAATGATTCCTTAAATAAGCTCTTTGCACAAAACAAAAACAAGGAGACAACAATAAAGAAACTACACATAGAAGCAAAAAAATGCACCTTGATTAACATTTGCAACAGCTAGAAGCTCCAAACTCTGTATTGTAATTTTAGCAAGGAATCCACAGCTCCAAACCTGAAGCCAGGAGTTAGGTTCTAAAAGTGCAAGTAGACATACCAGTCATTAAAGTTTAGATCTAGAAAAATTAGACATGCTAGGAGTTAGGTTCTAACAGTTGGTTACGTGAACATGGAGACAACGTCACTTGAAGAAAAATGAATCTAAAGGAAAAACTTCATGCCAATGCAATAGTAGAACCCAGATCTGGAAAGCATAGTAGCAAGGATCTTTAGCATATGTTTTTATCAAAAATTGCAGATATTGCTTACTTTTGATAACCTTTGAACCACAAGAGTTGAGAAAATCTATGAGATGACAAAGTAGAGTAGTTTTGGAACAGAAAAACCACTTCCAATTTGCAAGTATTCTGCTATCAAAATGCCATACTCTACTTCTGAAAGTAAAAGTTAAGTTTAAACTTGAGGCAGAGGAGTTATTCTCAAAACAAGAAAAAGTAGAATTAAGAACAAGAACATGAATAATTTCTTGTATTAAGAATTCCAGAAATTAGAATTTGTCCAAGTTTGAAGTTCCCTTTTTTTTTTTTTTTTTTTCACACACAAAGAGTGTCCAAATGCAGAGTGGTACAGACTGCAGAGATTACAATCAATTTACTGGAAAAATATAAAATGAATCTTAAATATTTGTGACAGTGAATTTATGAAATTAGTAAATTTGGATTTGGATTTGGATTTCAGGTACAAGTTGACTAATAAAATATTATAAGAATAATTTTAAAATTATCTGCACAAATTACCACCACTACTACATTCTTATTGATGATCATCTGACAAGTTCAAATGAGATAATCACTTGGTTCACTGAAAAATTAATGCAGAAGTTCAAAAAATACTCTATTAGATAAGAATCTACATAATAGAAGAGGTGTAATCAAGAAAATGACAAACCTTAGATAATCAGATTATTTATCGCTTTCTACCTCCTTTAAATTGAAGATGTATTTGCGATCTATATGAACTTTAAATTAGTAAATTTGGATTTGAATTTCAGATACAAGGAATTATATTCAAGTTGACTAATAAATATTATAAGAAATTTTAAAATTACCTGCACAAACCACCACTGCTAGATTTTATTGATGATCATCTGGCAAGTTCAAATGAGATAATGACTTGGTTAATTGAAAAATGAAGGCAGAAGATCAAAAAATACTCTGTAAGATAAGAATCTATATAATAGTAAAGGTGTAATTAAGAAAATGACAAACCTTGGTTAATCAGATGATTAATCGCTGTCTTCTTCCTTTGAGTTGAAGATGAATTTGCCATCTATAAGAACGACGGGAATGTGAGCAATCTTTGAGCAATATCTTTTTTTACCCCTATTCCATTGTTTTGTTAGCAATGGACAATTGAAAACCCGTAAACGCAGAAGTGAGGATGGCAAACTTTGCAAAGATTTGAGTTTTGGTCATTGTATAATTTCCAAACAAGAAAAAATGTAAAGCTCTTCGAGTGTCTCAGGCAACTCAGGTGGTAATGTGCACGTGAGAGAATGGCACAAATAAATTCTTAAGTACTTGAGAAGGGAAGTACTTAAATCCTTCAAAAATTCCAGTTTCTCACAATCATATATCTCAAGCTTTTTAGAGATGAAGGTAGCATGCTACAATCAATGGATCTTAGAGAATTACATCTCCAAATGCTCAATGTTTCCAGGTTCTTTTGCTTCAATCCTCCGGGTAAGGATATTAGAGTTTGGCATGTATTGAACGTAAGAGCACTTAGATTGGGAAGAAAATTGGTGTTTTCAAAGAAAACAAAATCATTTTTACAATTCTCTAATTCTAACTTTTTAAGGAAGATGAGACCATGCATACCTCCCTGTACTGATGACCTCTCAATATCAGGCATATTTTGCCACGAATCCATCATCTCATCGTTGCCGTCAATCCTTAAAGATTCTACTCTTTGGGATCCTTGCTTTAATTTACTTTCAACCTCTGGAATATTTGAAAGCCGTCAAGAATCCAGGCTTTCAAAATTAATTGAACTGTCATTGCACACCACTCCATAACTAAAAAAATCAATATTTACTTTGCATTCTTCTGGCAAACTTGAGATTGAAACCATCAACTTTGGACAGTCGCGAAATTCTCAATGAAGGAAGATGATCAGGAAATTCTCCAGTAAGTTTGGGACATTTTTTGATGCAAAGTTCACGAAGTTGAGCGAATCTTTCAACATCTTCATTTCCTCTCCAAGTGTCCCAATGCTCCCATTCTTGCAAATTCATTAAAAGAAGAACCTCTAATGACTTCAAAGGCATTTGGAAATCCATCCTTTTTAGACTTGCCATTCCTTTGAAGGTTAAGTCTTTAAGTGAGCTCAACATTTCAAGTGAAGGCAAAGGATTTACATTTTTCACAGTTTCTAATTTGAGGGCCACCAATTAGAGAATGATGCTGGATCTTTGAACCAATTGGACGGGAAACTTTGACCACCATAGCATGATAGTGAGTTCTGCTAAACTGCTTGGAGGTTTCAGCTTGTCAAGTACATACATTCTACATTCTTTGTGAGTCCTCAAACAATTCATTTCCCCATTCTAGTAACAAGACGTTTAGATTGTTCTTATTGCCCAGTATTTGTCCCCCTATTTGCTCTGGATCCTCACATCTTAATTTTGAAATGTGAAGCTCTCCTTGAAGAAAACTTAAGCTCTTCAAATCTTCCAACTTGAGCTCGATTCCTTCCCCACAATAAATGGTCAACAGTGGAGATTTTTAACTCTTTCATCTTGACGGCATCTTTCAATGAATTTTGACCACTTATATCAAGATGATATAATTGGTCAAATATCTCATATTGCAAAGTAACTTCACAAGACGAGAACAATCTTTATATAATTAAGTTTGCAAGCTTAATAATTGCTTGTTGACTCGGCAAACTTTTGATTTCAGTGTAAGAAAAGTTGAGATACCTTAGATATCAAATCTCCAATGAATGAAGGTAAATAAGGGATGTAGTACCATTGAAAAGATAGTACTCTCAATTTTTTAATCCTTGGCAGCAAATCAAAAAAACCATAGCAGTTATGTAATTACAACATAATTACTTTCATACATCGGAAGATGTTCTTAAACTCGTAAGTTTTCTAAGCTTTTAAATTTCTTTTCTAAATCATAACCATCAGAAAGATAGAAAAAATGACGAATTCTTTAACATTTTCTGATAGCTTAAAATGGCTTCTCAATCTGAAATTAAATTCTTTGAAACCAATTCAGCTAGATCGTGGACAAGATCATGCATTACATATTTAGAACCAAATTATGATATTTTGAAAAAGAGACCTGAACACAAATTAGTAAAGTACAGACCTGTCTCGTCCATCTCGTCAGTTGCTCATCAGATTGTTGAGATACTTTCTGCCATCCATAAAAGTATAAGTTCATTTTCTCAAATTCATAGCCTTTTGGAAAGACCGCACAATACGCAAAAACTCTTTTAAATGCGGAGGGAGAGAGAACTACATACGGTATCTTTTCTTTAAATGAATTCCATATTTCGCTGTCTAATATTCTTTCCCAAGTATTAATCGTAGAGTGTAAAGACCACGAGGTCTTTGCTGCCAGAGGTAGACCACTACATCTTCAAGAACTCTCTTACGAATTGAATCGCAATTAGATCAACATTAGCAGCTGCACAATCGCAAGTGCGTGCTCCCAAAACAAGGACCAACAAGCTCATCGGATAAACTCTGTAAAGCATAAATATCAGAATCAGGCATCTTATTCTTTTAGCAACAGATCTATCGCGTGTTGTGACAATCATCGTGCTTCCAGGTGCACCAGCTTTGAAGGGAGACATAAGCTGTTCCCATTTTCTGTAGTCACTCCCAAACATCGTCTAATACTATCAAGATTTTTTTCCCATTTACTGCCTTCTGCAGTTCAACTTGTGCTTCATTTAATTATTTGGATTGGGGATGAAGAGTGTTTAATGACCGAAGGATATTCTTTGAGATAGTGAGAATATCAAAAATCTGTGAAACACAAACCCATGCTTGTCAAACTGAAACCTTCCAGGTCGTTGTGATGGTACACCGCTCGAGCAATTGTCGTTTTCCGATCCCTCCCATGCCGACGATGGCTATCACTCGAAATTTATTGGCACACTCGGTGATCATTTTTCACCAGTTCAAGTAGTTTGGTTTCATCTTCATGTCTGCCATGAACTGTTGTTCAGGTGGGACGCTTGAAGTTTCCTCTGGTCTTAGGCCTCTGAAACAGCACTTGATGTCCTCCTGTGATCCCTTTAAGAATAAAGTCTTTTGATGCTTCGCGGAGTTGTTCCAACTGGCTATTGTGTTTTTGATCTTAACCACATGCTGAAATTGAAACTGGGTCTAGTAGCGAGGTTCAGTGCCTTGCTGGAGCTAGCCTTACGTTCTCTGCCTTAGGTGGCGACGCAAAGCTAATTCATAGGCAAACTCATCCAGTATGTCCTCTGCATCATAAGCCCAGTTTTGAAGTTCGGCAAGCCGCCTTTCACAGCTCTTTCTGACAGTTGTTTTTCTTCAGCATCAGTAAGCAGGTCTTTAATATTCTCCAACGTAGTTTTCAGTTTTTCTAACTCGAATCTACCCCTCCAAAGAGTTGACGAGCAAATGACCGCACCTCAACGGACCCCAATTCTTAACCAACTCCTCAAAGAGCACAGAGACATGGGCTCCGCCACACTTCCATGGTTTCAGTTGTCGAAAAGAAGAAAGAATTCGGATGTTGTCACAAGAAAGATGAGCGAAGCAAAAGGCAGAAGGGGTTTAAATTTCTCTAAGAATGCTTGAAATTGAAGTGCTAAATTAAAATGTTTTACTCTTTTAGTGTGGGAAGTGAGAAGTGGGAAACCACTCAAATAATTGAATAATTAACAATTAGAGATGATTATTTGTTATATTTCATCTATATAAATTATTTTCGTTTTTTGCTTTGACTAATAGAGATGAAAGTGATCATATAAAAACCTTTGATTATTTATATTTATAGAACATTTTGCTCATACACGAATGTGTAATTTTATTTTTTAATAAATTATATTATTTTCATTTTTTCTGTTATATTGTTCGAAGATATAGAAAATTAAATGATTTACTTTGATTATTTGTGAAAGAAAAAATTGCACCAAAATTCATTAACATTATTATATA